TCGTCCTGATGGTGCTATGTTCATCTTTTTCCGATTAGAAATTGATATGAAGTACGTTTTTTATATTCATACAACTCTGTATCTACTGGAGGCTAAATGTTATATCATTGTTATTAGTGAATTCGAAACCATACCCACTGCTGCCATCTTTATTTAGAATTTAACACTAGCATTACGAAGAGTGCCTGCTTGAAAATATTGTTTTCTTTTGTTTTTGTTTTTTAGGTACCTATTTTATTTTGTTTATTGTAAATAATACGAGGTGCCTAACCACTGGAATACGATGGGTGCCATGAAGTGACGTATAGTCAGAATTTAAGTATTTATTTACCTATATTTTATTGATTGAAACATATCCGTAAATGTAAGAGTGTTTTGTATTATAACTAGAGTTATGTGAAATAAAGCAAAGTTGACAAAATAAGTGCAGGTATATTTTATTCCAAAAATTACCATTTTCTACTAATTCTAACAACAACTCTGTGATCCCTACATATTTTTCAAGCTGAAGCTGATCTAGCTAGCAATGAAACTTAATGTGAGTAAGCAATAATGATATTGGAGTTTCTAATCGATATCTTAAAACGACAGTGTCAAATAATATTTACAGATAGGTATCTAATCGAACCTTTTTTTCCTCGTTGGCAACCGAGTCTCCAAACGATAATCGAACCTATTTTATCAAAATGAACAGTGACAGTCCATTGTTAGGCTACCTAACCTAGATACCTTCTTTACTCTCTACATTAGCCATAGTCTCCACGCTTGGGAGTTTGGACATCGAAGATTCAAAGATTAATGCTTACCAGAGTACACTGCAGGCCGATCTCTGCTATAATTATTCCCTAATCGAGTCGCACAAGCCTTAAACAACCACATGAAGAGTAAAGGGTGGTGATAAATGTAATTTCCTCTGTCCGTATGAAGTCCATTACCAATGCAGTAAGCAATCCCGTCAGCACACAACACAGCTCCTGGTTACACGTGTTCGAATCAAGTCAGGAATACACCTCATGAATATGCAGAAACCACAAATGTCACATAGCAAACACCACGGAGAGCGGCTTGTTGCCATGCCCTTTTTCACAGGCGTTTACACAATATTATAAATTGACATTGCGTGTGGTAAATATTACTTTGATAACGATGCTTGGAAAGGTTCAGGGAATTTTATGTTGTATACCTACATTTTTGGTTTGAATTTTAATTTTATGTGGTTGGAGATAACTTTAGCTGGATACGTTTGGGTGTCTTCTACAAAGAAGGATTACGATATATTAATCATACTAACATTATAAATGTGATTTTTTGTTTGATATTTGTCCGTCAATCACTTGAAATTACAGAACGGATTTTGATGAATTTTGGTATAAGTACAGGTAAGGCTAGGGTATGGGCTGACTTAGGTAATAAGATCTTTTATCCCGATTAAATACTCCCATGGGCCAAAACAGGAACGCGGCAAAAGCCGCGGTTGAAAGTTAGTTTGATAATATATAGCTTATGTATTCATAGTAGGTATTACCAAACGTTTCAGTGAAATTTAAACAAGGAGGCGTTGCAATATTTTTAAATTAAAACCGTTAGAATTCGAATGAAAATTCGAATATGAAATGAGACATAGCCAACAATTTAAAAGTCCTTGATCCCTCCTATCTTAGACAGGATTAATTGTTATAATTAAATACGAAGCATCAGATGTTAAGATCTCAGTTATTGTTTGCCAAGAAATAAGATCTTATAATTACGTTTAAATAATTTTAATCTGATGATTTATTTGACGACCTTGTGTCTAAAGGTGACACCGGTTTAACGTCGACTCTTAATTTTAAGGACTGTTTTAGTTATTATATAAACTTTGTGTTTGTTTAAATTAAATGTTTATATTATTTGTATGTATTTTAATAATAAAAGTAATTTGAGCTGAAAGTATTTGGATGACGCAAAAAAAGCCTTAACAATAATTTAAGACCCGCATCTATAGCAACTAAATTCACTACACACTAAAGATGTTTAACGTTTATTTAGCTATAACTCAAATCAAATCAAATCAAATCATTTATTTGCTAATATGGGTAAATTAAGTTGTTAGCACATAAGTAGATACAGTTCCGACCATATTACGACTTGAGGCATGCAAATTACAAAATTTACAGTTTTACAATGTTATTTGGAAAAAAAAATCAAGTACATTCAAAATTCAAGCTTTCAACACAATTATTGTAATATAAGTGAATTCAAAATATAATGTCAACAATTTCATTAAAATTTAATGTCACCAATTTAATTAAAATTTAATGTCAATAAATGTATTTCTCAAATAAAATGTCATGAATTAGATTAAATAAAATGTCATACAAAGGACAATGCCCAAAAATGTGTGAGATTCCACACCGATTGGTTTACATATCATATCAAATGCATGCAAAACTTATAAGATATAGAAATTTACTTAATAAAAAATAGTGATATTTTACATTAACATGTCCTGCAAATACTCGTTGACAGTGTAATATGCTTTTGGCATTAATAGGGCTTTGATTTTTCTTTTAAATATATTTATATCTGAAATCTCCAATACAGACTTGGGTAGGTGATTATAGACACGTGGCGCCATGCGGAAAATACTTTTATTAAGTAATGCTGTTTTAGCGCCTGTAAAATATACATTAGATTGATATCTATTACTATTAAATTTGTTAAAGCATTGCAGGTTTTTTTTGACAAATAGTGCAACTTCTGATGACTGACTAGATGTCGCTGCTGTCTTAATTGAGTCCTTGGATTAACGATGACATCAACAATAGTTTTTATTGTTTAAATTGCACCGCCATTGCTGGGTAGCCTCTAAAATTGCTCTGCTGCCCAGTCCCTCTCAAATGTGTAGACTAATATGTAATAGGCACTCTGTCTATCAGGTTTCCTAAAATATAGGACATAAAGCCCACCATTCTCAAAAACTTGATCACAGAAAGAAACCTATTTATTTTAATCGCATAACCTCTCGATTGACTGGTTTACAGTAATTGGATTTACGAATCAAGGCCCCCAGGCCCCCAGGCCCCCAGACCCACAGGCTTGATGGAAACCAGCCAGATTCATTTTAATCATTTTTTTCTAATCCGATCCGTATTTGTTGATTGGTATTTTTCGGGTCAGATGTTCGTCGCTTTGTTTTTACTTTATTGTTGACATTTCCATTATTGTCAGTCGGGGATATTTGATTTTGTTTTGATTGAGTCGGTATTGAGAATTGATTTTTTAATTCCTCTTTTTATATTGGGTGTGGTTTAGAAGTGATGGTTTGATAGCAGGGAAGAGCCGAAGAGGTGATAGGTAAATCTTCATATAGATAATGGTCACATTTTTTCTTTATTGATGATAGGGGTAATGTTTGGAAGGCATTCTATTATTTGGGAACAAGTATTGTGAGATTTTTACCTAAGTGCAGCTAGGTACTCTGAAGATGTCAATTGGAACAATTGTGACAATAATCTCGACCAATGACGGGCGAGAATGCGATCAAGCTAACTTCGAGAGCTCGTATTGACATCTTACAGAATAATAAAATTGTGCTACGCCTGTAAGATGGAGGTCAGTCTTCATTTGTCACGGGTATAATACTCCTGTAACCCAGTTTAATGAAACTACATTTAATTTATCATATTTTTATTTGGTAATACACAGTATGTACTTAAGATATTGTCATTTATTATTGTCATATTGTATTGTATTTACTAAATAATATCATAATTAATAGTTGTTGAGTATTTCTTAGATTTCATAAAATTATTTCTCGCAATCTGTAGATGGGTTCTAAATAATACGAATATGTTTTTATTAAATGCTCTTTTAAAACTATAATTAGTAAGTATACATACACTAAATATAAATTCGTTGATCTTAATTATTTTTATCACGTACAATAAAATTATAGTACTATTCATAAATCACAAATAATGATATTTTAGATGTAGAACATTATCATTGAGATGAGAGGAAAGTGCGCGTGAATCACGGCAGAGGGCGCGCTGGGCCCCCGCCGACTCGAGTAGAATATGAGCCTCTAGCATGGCTTGAAACTAGTCGAGTTCATCGTCAAATTATTACGTGAGTAAGCCGAAAACAATAATAATTTAGTTTTATAGTCCTATGAAATAAGGAGCGACGCGAATAAAATTATGAATAAGTTTCATATCTAAAACAAATGTTTTATGAATAGTACTGTCACAATATAAAATAGTTACTTAAATCTATGATAAATACTTTTTATACATATAAATGCATCGTTCTGTTTTAAGGTTATTTTCCATTCAACTCATATATGACTTCGTTTCGTTTACAAAAATGTCCAAACCTAGTGATGTCATATTTATGTCATGGGATCGTCTGCCCTTGTTTAATTAGTGGGCCAATTAGTCTGGCATAGAAACAAGTTAATAACTTAGTAGAGTTATTGAAATGATATCGATTTAATTATGTTAGCTTTTGAAGTAAGGATTGTTTAAAAATTGAATGTTAATCGAACATTACATAGTTAATTAACTAATCGGGGGTTACTCACGTGAATACTAATAATAGCTCTACTAGTTTCGAACCACAGAGGGGTTCTTCCTCATGAGCTGCGCGGTCGCGGCGAAGTCGCGCAGCCTACTGAACTAGTAGGTAAAAACTAGTAGAGCTTTTCTCAGTATATTCACGTGAGTAACCCGCGATTTTTAGTTAATTTAGTATGTCTCACGATAGTTATTATAAAAACGTTAAATATTCAATAACTCGGTCCAATTTTCTTTGATATTAAAAGAAAAAGATGTCTTATTTTTGACCGAAATAAAGAGGATATACCTACTATGCTAAATTATGTAAATCTATTTTGAAAAATAGCAACCAAAGTAGGATGTTGCGAATTTTCACTTTATTTTCTTGCTTTCCATAAAAACCATGTTATATCTATATTTTCAAATTCAACAAAGACAGACAACTCCATTCTATTTCAAACCTTAATAGCTATAAATTAAAGGTTGGAAATACCGAAGTTCAGTGGATATTCCTGACTCGTCCTTGCCCAGTTCCTCTACCATCTCCCTGGCCCTGTTGTTGGCGTACTCATGTCCACAGTCATGTCGTTCCACCATCTTGGCCAATGCCATCTTGAGCTGTTCCCGTACACCGCCGCTAGATGACGCCACTAGAGCCTTCATCACGTCTGGAGAGAAACCCTGGAAAGGAGAATGAGAATTGTTAGAAAATGGAGTTGATAAAACACATTATCGTCTTTTTTAACAGACTAGTTGGATTTAATTAAAGAGGAAGAGTAAGTGATTGTATGTTGATATTGTTGCTGTCATATTATACCAATAGTATGTCTAAGAGATCACACCTACGACTCATAACATAAGTAGTGAAAAGTGGGTGTTACATTATACAGTGGCATTAAGTGCCGAAATGTGTACCTCGGCCTACCCCTTTGGGGTTAAAAAGGCGTGATGTTATGTTATGTGTGTTACAAATTGTACAGTGGCATTAAGTTCTGCAATGTGCACCTCTGCCTACCCCTTCGGGGTTAAAAGGCGTGATGTTGTGTTACGTAAGTGTAACCTATCTACTAAGTGTAGAGATTGTGGTAAACCTATGTAGATAAGAGGGTAGGGGAAGCCCATATAGTCCAGCAGTTGCAGAGGTATGTCATGGAATAAATTAATGATGTAATATCAATGACGTGACATCGTCGACTTTCTGCAGAAATCTAAAATTAATAAATTAACTAAAGGCACTTTTAACGATCCTTAGTTACTTACTGAGGTATCTACATTGTTACACAATAAAATTTTATTCGGGATACAATTCAAAATTTATGCCTCTCTTCGGCTAAATAAAATTGAATAACTGGTCTGAACAAGGGTAGAGATTACGCTATAAAATCGACATAAAATGATACATATTTCAGAATAATATTCAACGTATAAACGACTTTATTAGTACCATAACAGGGTGGAATCTTCGTAAATATGTTTAAGAACTTATTTGTATGACAAGATGTTAGTATTAGGTAGAACAAGGGACAGAAGGACTATTATACATTTTAAAGTACTGTCAGTCTTGTTATTTAGTTTTGGGACGATTTATGTTTGAGGTCTGGTTTCTTGTTATTTTGTGCAGGAACCAGAGATGTATGTACCTATATGTACATTTTACATTAATAAAGAAATACGTCTGTTTCCAAGCATCTGTCACAACGATAAATAAAAAAGCGATAATGTAGGTATTACTAAAAGCGCGCTATTTTTCTATAGTATAAGCCGGTAAACGAGCAGACGGATCACTTGATGGTAAGCAATCGGCGTCGCCCATGGACACTCGAAACACCAAGACGTTACAAGAGCGTTACCGGCCTTTTAGGATTTGGGAATTTGAGGATTGTGGAGGATTCGGGGATTCGGGAGACGGGGACTAGGGAGGGGGGTTATTGGTCCTCCGGTAACCTTATCTACTTTCACGACGAAATACAACGCAAGCGTTGTTTCTGCTCGGTTCTCTGCTCGGCCGTGGAATTACTCCGGTCGAGCCGGCCCATTCGTGCCGAAGAAAGGATCTCCCACACTTCAAAATAGCTTCAGGTGGTCGAAAAGTACGTAAATAATGGACCGCTCAAATCAAAACTGATGATCACGACCACGACTACTATGCCATGAATAACGTGGTGACTGATAATTCAAGCTGAATTCCAAAGATACATAAGACTGCATGGAGTGAACCTTTTTTTATGGATCAGCCCGGTAAACGAGCAGACGGATCACCTGGTGGTAAGCAATCGCGCCGCCCATGGACACCTGGAACACCAGAGGTATTACAAGGTGCCTTACCAGCCTTATGGAGATTAGGAAATTTGAGGATTCGAGCCCATTTGTACTGAAGCATAGCTCTCCCACGCTTACCTGGTAAATAAGCGGCCTTAGCCTCTATAGGTACTTTTGATGACTATACCTACACAATGGTGGAATCGAATGTCTCAAATCGCCTGTCAAATGTATAAAGCATGGGGATGCAGATGGGAGTTTTTTAACAGAGGCTGAGTCTTCGTCTTTTAAAGATGATGAGACCGAATGGTGCCTTCTAATAAAACATTGAGGGTCTCCAAACAAGTCTTAAACCTTTTTATTTACAATGATATAAAGATCCATGAGGTCAATGTATGGGAACACAATTTAAGACCTCGTAAAGACATAAAGTGTCCCGACTATGACCAAGTAAAAGATTACCTTGTTTTTCTAAGGAATTTGGGGCATCAATATTATTGTTATTATGTTTTTATGCTCTATTTATATATTTTAGGTCGGTATTTGCAAGTTATAGAATTACTAGCTACTTCCGCGCGGTTTCACATGCTCTGCTCAGCTCCTATTGGTCGTAGCGTGATGTTTTATAGCCTATAGCCAACCTCGATAAATGCACTATCCAACACAGAGTAATTCAAATCAGGCTTGTAGTTACGGGATTAGCGCGTTCAAACAAACAAACAAACAAACTCTTCCGCTTTATAATAGAGGTAAGTAGGTATAAGATAAGATATATACTTACTTAGAATCTATACTAATATTATAAAGCTGAAAAGTTTGTTTGTTTGTTTGAACGCGCTAATCTCCGAAACTACTGATCCGAATTGAATAATTCTTTTTGTGTTGGATAGTCCAATTATCGAGGAAGGCTATAGGCTATAAAACATCTCGCTACGACCAATAGGAGCTGAGCAGAGCGGGTGAAACCGCGCACAAGTGGCTATTATAGATATTACGAGAAGTTTTACTACAGATAGAAACTGCTGTAAAACTTCACCGAATCGTATCAAGCTCGTGCTCGCTGACCGGACACAGGTTATTGCTAACCTCCTTGTTTTGTTCAAATTTCAAGATAAAGTTAGTGTTTTCGAAGTGTTTTCATTCAATAAAGGTATAGATCTTAAATATTTTATTACAAGACGAGATTTTATTACATTTTTCTCATTTTAGAACAAAATTTATGTTAGCTGCCTGCCGAGTGGTCGCAAGTGCGACTGCCGGGCAAGGGGTCTCGAGTTCGATTTTCGGCTCGAGCAAAGTATTACTGGGTTTTTAAAAAAAATCTTAGTAGTAGCACGGAGTCTGGAATTGTGCCCGGTATATGGCAAAAGGCTCACCCCCTATTACATGGATTCATAACATAATTAGTGAAAAGTGAGTGTTACTTCTGTGTGCACCTCTGCCTACCCCTTCGGGGATAAAAGGCGTGATGTTATGTTATGTTATTTATGTTAGCTTTTTGACACTTAGCCACTTAACCAATGAGGTAGACAACTGGCAAATATTGTTAAAGCTAGGAATAAAACTGTAATCAATGGAAACACGTCCCACACTTATCAGGCAATTCCATATATTGTGAGAAAATGAAGGAATTGAACAAATGAGATATTTTCCAGCACAACGCCTTACAATCAGCTGCGTATAAATATTGGATCTTACTAGAATATTCTATTTACTATATTTAAATCAACTACAAATAAGTAACTTTGTTTGCTTCGTAAAGGAAAGATTTAAGTGTGGGAGAGCCGTGCTTCGACACATGACACCACGGCCTCATAGGATTTTTTTTAAGGGGGGAAAATCATCGAATGACTGCTCCCGTCTGGGTGAGGCGGGAGGGAGTGTCAGACTCTTACTGACTAAAAACCACCCCGTTCCTTCTCCTGCACGTCGAGCCGGAGCCGCGGTAACCCGTTAGGTTCTCCGCGACTCCGAATAATTTTCTTACCCAATTGCAATAGGTAATCACTAATCAAAAATAACAACAAATTTGTAATGTAGATATGTTTTTAAATTATTAAGTGGTTTATCCACTGATATAGTTAATTGCCATTTAAATATTGAATTCATTAACACAGATTCACATCTATAACGTCTCATGTCAATAACATCGTCAAGTCATCGACTAATGACGGCGTTGTAATATCTGTCATTATTCATTTGTTTATTATGATGAGCTGGATTCTGTTACTCATTCGTTGAGAGGATGAATTTGAATTTGAAGACTTATGTAGCATTAAGGCGCACATAAAATAACCCATTTTACGTTTAAGTGTCACTTATAGGTCAGTAAAAATCAAAATATCGGTTTTTTAAGGAGGGAAAGTCATCGAATGACTTCCCGCCTGGGTGAGGTAGGGAGTGTCAGACTCTTACAGAGTAAAAACCACCCCGTTCCTACTCCTGCACTTCGAGCCGGAGCCCCGGTAACCCGTTAAGTTCTCCGCGACACCGTAACCAAATATTGTTAAGTGACACTTATCTTGGCTTAGGAGTTCGTTAAAATTTAGAAAAAGTTGGTGAAAATGGGCCTAATTTAACTATTAGCATAAAATATTTGACTGGTACATATTTTAACCCTAAGGTTCACCCTAGGGGTCTCCCCCTTACAGTGATGTCTTATCATTTAATTGTGACCTCTTACATAAGTACCTCCTGATTTCGTTTACTTTTTTAATATTAGTATCAGAATACTAGGATCGTTAACGACTTAATACGAGTAAACTCAAAAACATAGCTAGTATTACTTGATTCAATTTGGGAGTAGGTCGGTATCAGAATTAGCATATCTCGTCGATCGAACTAATAAATAACAGAAATAAATGGTCGGAACATTGACCGCGATGTGTTTACTTAATTCGATACTTTATGAACTGTGGGCGGCTTGCCTGACTTATTGTTAATTGCAAAATTTTAGAATAACAAACTAATTGGAGGTTTTGTCTTAAAATATTGCGGTTTTTGGATATCTTTAGGTATATAGAACAAAGTAAATATATTTAAGTAAGTAAGTAGGTACAAAGGTATTTCGAATGACTGCTCCCGCCTGGGTGAGCCGGAAGGGAGTGTAGACTCTTACTGACTAAAAACCACCCCGTTCCTTCTCCTGCACGTCAAGCCGGAGCCCCGGTTACCCGTTAGGTTCTCCGCGACAGGTACAAAGGTATACAACACAAGCCTTTTATCCCCGAAGCTGTAGGCAGAGGTGCACTTTACGGCACTTAATGCCGCTGTACAATGTAACACTCACTTCTCACTATTTATGTTATGAGTCCCATGTAATAGGAGGTGAGCATATTATCATATACCGGACACAATTCCAGACTCCGTGCTACTACTGAGACTAAAAAAAACAGTAATACTTTGCCCAAACCGGAATCGAACTAACTAGCGACTACTCGGCTAACGAGGTAGTTTTTTAATGTTTTAGTTTTGGTCTTTTTTCTTTATTTTCAGTTAGAGTAAAATATCGTTCTCTTTTGAACTTCTTTTAGCTAGAAGATCTTCTGGCTTGCAGGTTTAACTAACTTACTAACTTTGGTTTTTATTAATTTACTAGCTTTTACCCGCGGCTTCGCTCGCGTCACAAAAGGATAAAAGGTAGCCTGTGAGACATATACCAATACACACAGCGCCATCTATACCAATACTTTTGTTTTCCCCCGGGAATATCAAATTTTTCCGGGTTAAAAAGTACCCTATTATTTAATCCAGACTTCTAACTTTACGTCTGCAAAAATTCTAAGCAATCGGTTTAGTAGTTACGGCGTGAAAGCGGAACAAACAAACAAACTCACTTTCCAATTTATAATATATTAAGTAAGGATGACAGAATTGAGTATTCTATTTATTCATATTGCAAAAAAATACAATCAAACGAACTGAAATGAAATCAAATTTGACTGCACGGTTGGTGCGGTGGCTGGGCAACCGGCTGCCGTGCAACGTATCGCGGGTTCGATTCCCGCACGGAACAACACTTTGTGTGATCCACAAATTGTTGTTTCGGGTCTGGGTGTCATTGTGTATGTGAACTTGTATGTTTGTAAACGCACCCACGACACAGGAGAAAATCCTAGTGTGGGGCAAAGTTTAAAAAAAAGAACGTTTAACAAATTAATCCTTTAGAATTTTCTATTTCGTTTTGAATAATTATTTATAATACCAAAAAACTAGCTCATTTTAATCAGATTAATTTAGATATTGTTAAAGTTTTGAATTAAAAAGAAAATTAAAACAATGAATAACTTACAATTTTGAAAAATAGCATTAGTTAGCAAAGTCACTCGCTTTTGTTTCTTTTATAGTCTTGTTGTAGGTAATTATGTTTTTTATCTTTCAATTGTTTAAAAATACGTAATTAATCATTGTTTTATGAAAGTCATAGTTAACTAGCTTAGCTACTATATATCAGCCCGATAAGCTTGTCGAAACATAACATCAGGCCTTTTTATCCCCGAAAGGTTTTATCCCAGAGGTGCACATTACGGCACCTAATGCCATTGTCCAATGTTCCCACTTTTCACTATTCATGTTATGAGTTCCATGTAATAGGAGGTGAGCCTATTGCCATATACCGGGCACAATCCCAGACTCCGTGCTACTACTGAGATTTTTAAACCCTTTAGTATTTTTCCCGACCCGGGAATCAAACCCTTGCCCGGCAATCGCACTTGCGACCACTCGGCCAACGACTACGGCCTCAGACTGGACATGGAATGTTGACAAACTTGTCTCTAAACGGATCTAAATAAAACTTAGCACAGAACTGCACTATAATTTGAAATAATACATAGACATAGAATCACCCCTATTACATGGGATTCATAACTTAAATAGTGAAAAGTGGGTGTTACATTGTACAGTGGCATTAAGTGCCGTAATGTGCATCTCAGCCGAGGCCTATCCGTTCGGGGATAAAAGGTCGTGATTTTTTGTTATGACTTAATAATTAAAGTCTAAATAAAAATCCTTCTTCATTAGTCTATCGATAATAAAAATGTTCCAAGTTTAACATTACACACTTTTAGTGGGTAACTAAACAAACAAACTTCAGCACTTCAAGTTTATTACATGAACCGTTTCATTGTTTCATCAAGGTGAAGATTTGAGAAGAATCAATACTTGAAAATGAATTCTATTATTTTACCTTGAAAGTATAGAATTGAATAAAAGTCAAATATTTTACACCATATCGAATATCACATTATTCCAAAATCAACTTTAACACCACACAGTTAGAGTTGCAAATGAAATAATAATGATATAAGTAATAAAGACATTGACATTGCAACGAAATATAATACTACCCTCAATTACATAAACCCTCGTTGAAGTGTCACAACTGTCTCAGACGTCGCCTGGGTAAGACGTGCCCGTCAAATGCAAGATGCGGATATTTTGACGAGCTACTTAAGTTCGGAGTGGGATTGTACTAAATTACGGAAATAGACTACTTATTTACAAACGATGAAAGTAAGTATATAAATAAACATGTATCATTAGCTGTTACCGTCGACTTCGTCCGCATACATTAATGTCTTCTGGTATATATTGGGCTTTTTTTAAACTGTCAAACACCGCGGGGACACATGTGACCGCAACCTATTGTTCTTTAACTCGTCGAGTACCGGTTTTATAGACACAATTAAAGAACAATAGGTCGCGGTCACCGGTGACCGCTTGGTGTTTGACAGTTTAATTGTGTCTATAATGACGGTACTCAAAGGGTTAAGGGGGTAAATCATCGAATGGTTTTTCCCGCCTGGGTGAGGCGGGCGGGAGTATCAGTCTTACTCCTGCACTTCGAGTCGGAGTGCCGGTAACCCGTTAGGTTCTCCGCGGCTCCGTATAGGTATCAGGTCTATTGGGCCCCATCCGTGGTGGTCTTAATGGCTCTTTGGTGGCATAAATTGGACTTATGAATTAGTCTGTAGCAAGGTATACAGTTTAAAGAAATGCCATATATAACTAGGTACAGAATCGATTCAATACCTAGTTAGATACGTATGTATAAACGTAAGGTTATAGTGATTTCCTGGCCAGTCAATATTAATAGCATTATTAGGTTTTTCAAACCTTTCTGCAATTAATTGAAAACGATGATGATGATAATGACACGTATTTTACACACAATAAGATTTGTTATCCATGTCGAAATTAACAAGCAGCTGGGGAGACTACCACAATTTAAGGTAATCCTTCGTTCCACAATAATGTTACTAATATTATAAATGTGAAAGTTTTTGTGTTTGTATTTGTTTATAACCCAAACAAGTCAATACGGCTCAAGGAGTCGGGTTAAAATAGGCTAGTAGGCTTCTTTTTAAACCACGGGAACGTGGGCAAAGCCACGGGCTGGAGTTATTCAGTAATATAATTGGCATTAAATAAACAAACAATAAATCTACTCACACTATAATCCGACAGCCTCTGCCTCTTCGCGTCCCTACTCAGCAGGTCATACAGCAGCAACAGCCTCAAGTTCGAAGACGACAGCTTCGCCTTCGTAGTCACAGGCTGGTTCCCCTGCCTGACTCCATCCCACACATCCACCACCTTATCATCATGAGGGTCTTTGGCCATCTTTATCATTTCCCTTACATCTTCAGACAAGTATTGGAGGCTTTCTTCGCTGATGTCATCAATGACGTAGCCATCTGAACGGCTGGAGACTTTGACGTCGTAGTGGGGTGGAAGATATGGGGCCGATTCTGGACTTGGCTCCATTAGAGGCTTTATTTGGTCCTGATGGATGGATAGGAGAGGTTCTTCAGTCCTCTTTTCTTGGGGTTGAAGGATGGTGTATTGGGCGTGGTGTTCCACTGGCAGGAGTACGAAGCGGTGCTGCTGTGGGTTCCAGGAGAATCTGCTGTAGCTGTAGGGTTTCGGAGGAGAAGGTGGAGCATATAATCCTGGTCTGTGGAATGGTGTCGTCATTTCTGTCCTGGAAATATGTTTTCGTTGGTTAGTGAGTTTGTTTTACAAATGATGTCTTTCATCTACCTAAATCTAAGGAAAATTGAACTTGGTAAATTCTCATTTTAATGTGTGTATGGTGTAGATTATTGTTGTTATTTTCTTTTTCCATAATTCTCAAATTGGATTTTATTTTTAAGCCACTGTTAAGCCTATGAATTGCCAATGCTATGTACGCCATTATTGTCGCATGCATCAGACCTTTATTTTGTTACTATTGTGTATTTTCAATGTTATATGTTTCTGATGTGGCCGTACTCCTTCCAATGAATAAATAAATAATCAAAATGTTCTTGTTATTTGTATGTCAAGCAGTACGTAAATGTGTATTTTTGCGTGATGAGTGTGTGTGCGTGTGTAGTAACGTAAAACAAATAATCTTGTTCTTAAATATTATGTACAAATTGATATTTACAGAAACCGTAAACCTGCTAAAATATTAGTGCCTAAAAATAAAATATTTACAATAATCTTAAAATTATGTTATAAGATAAATCAAAATGAACGTTACCGTCTACAGAATAGAAACTTAGACAAACTTACTTTCTCTCTCAGTACAAAAACTGCTAGAATAGTTAAAGACATATATTTTATGTTAATTTTCAATGAACAAGTTGGTTTAGTTGTTTGAAGAGTGATGACGTCACGGCCACTTGGCAGAGACCTGATCAAACCGTTACCTGTGCCATACGCGATGTGAATTTAAAAAGTAAAACACCGTAATATAAGGAGCTGCGGAAATATATTGAGTTGCTGTTTTGTTTTTTTTTTGGCAACGGGACAAGTTTTCTTTTGTTTTTTTTTTGAAGCATTCTGTAATGGAGCAACAGATTGGTGATTTTTAAATATGGAGTTTGGATTTACGGTCGATGTATGGCAATGAGCATCACCTTATTACATGGGACTTATACATGTAGTGAAGAGTGTTTTTGTATTTTTTTTTATTTAAAAACTTTACCCCACACTAGGAGATTCTCCTGTGTCTTGGGTGCGTATACACATCACACCCAGACCCAACAACAATTTGTGGATCATACTTAGAGTTGCTCCGAGCGGGAATCAAACCCGCTACACGTTGCGATGCAGCCGATTTCCCAGCCACCGCACCAACCGTGCAGTCAAAAAATGGTTAAAGTTACTCTAGAGCTTAGCTAAAACTTAGCTAAAACTTAAAATATAAAATATCATAAAAGTAGGTATTTATTTACAGCATCCTGTAAGATGTTATTGCCAAAAAATGTTGTCCATTGAACCCGAAATCTGAAAATTATATGTTAAAAATGCAATAGGTATATACAAAAGCCGAAAGTAACCTCTTTGTTGTAAAACCACTCCACCAACTGTTAATGGGCTTGTAGGTCACATACGGTCTGGAGGTCGTGGGCCTAGTGGTGGGCCTCGGAGTAGGCTTAGTTGTAGGCCTAGGAGTAGGCTTTGGGGTTGGCCTAGGAGTAGTATCCTCTTTGACCTCGAAGGCCATCTGATCTGTGATGTGAGATATAATCTGCATCGCGACTGGGAGGTAGGAGTCTGATAACTGCACCTGTTGTTTGGCTGACTCCGCCTGTAAAGATACAATTGATTGTGTTGTAGTAGAATGCTGTCTTCTTGTATACGTAAGTGATGAGAATATTGTCAAGATAAATTTGGTGGTCCGCGATTTGTTGTTATAGAATAGCTGTCTTTATGATTTAGTGCAGGGAATATTGTCGCTAACGCTGTAAAGTTTTTTATCTAACGCTAGAGATCGGTCAAAGAATAGTGTAGATGCCTAATTTTTATTTTAATGTCCGTCTGGTAGATTATTTTAAAACATTACACACGTATTTTTTTTACAGAAACGAATACCTTTTACTATATATTGTTTTGAAATGTCGCGTTACGTCACGTCTATGTAGGTACATTTTATACGTAGAAATGACGTTTTAGCCAACACTCCTAAACTTTGATTCTTTGTATCTAAGTATAATTTAATTATAGGGCAAAATAAAAAAATATTTACTTATATTTTTTCATTACTTAACTAACGGACTAATTAGATTTTTTAAATTTCATACCCTGTCATCAATTCGAAAAATTTCAGTAATCAATGACCCAAGCAAATTAATTTATTTGCTGAACAATGATGTAGTACATGACCAGGATGTTATATTGTTTAAGTTGTACAGATATCTTTGTTCTACCTAGCAGGTGCTCCAACTACCTAATGTGTGTGTAACCTTTAATTATGCACTGTTGCCTACCTTTGAGCTTGATATTTAATTTTCATCAACACCAGCAACTGGTGACCAAAAGCATCTTCTCATACGCAATGCGGGTTAGCGATTTCAAACTTATAGCTAGAAATAATTAATCCAGTTTTCCTCACGATGCTTTCATTCACCAGCTGTCAGCAGTGTCTAAATAATCTTTAATTGTACATATAACTCGGAAAAAGTCACGTCGATACTTTGCCGTTGGCGGGCGTCTTATACCTCCGGGCCACCAGGACACGACACCCACGACATTTGATTACGAAATTCTAATTAGTAATACTGAGTACAGCTGTGCCCGAAGTATTGCAGCCAGCAAATGCATGTTACATAAACTAACGCATTATAATAACGTAATGTTATGTACGTGTTATTAGTTATTATGCATGTACCTATTAAAGCTATATCTGTATGTCATTTTTTTAAAGTAGTGTTTGAGTCGTGTTCGTTCTTCTCCATACTCTTTAGCAACGACCAACTAGCTCCACAGATAAAACTAATTCTATTTGATGTCTATGCTTGTAAAGTGCCTTTGTTTCCTGAAGGGTGTCTGCAAGGCCCGAGTGAATAGGTTGCTTATGGGACGACGTGCTCCATCGTAGACCGCATCATCGTGCACCACCAGGCGAGATAAGTACCTAGTGGTCAAACATCGGCCCACCAAATATAAAAAAATATTGATTGTGTCATACTGTCAAAGAGACAATTTTAATTAACTTACAAATGAACATACCATAACATCACGCCTTTTATTCCCGAAGGGGTAGGCAGAGGTGCACATTATGCCACTGTACAATGTAACACCAACTTTTCACTATTTATGTTATGAGTCCCATGTAATAGGGGGTAAGCCTATTGCCATAAAGCGGGTACAATTCCAGACTCCGTGCTACTACTGAGAATTTTTTAAATAATGAACAACTTAATACTTTGCCTGACCCGGGAATCGAACCATTCGGCCAACGATGCCGACAATGACAACGTAATGAACCATTTCACAAAAACACATAAATGTGTTGTGTACAAGTAAAAGTGAAATGTTAAAACAATGAGTGTGTCACCAGTGTGTGGTGACGTGTACTGGGTGAGACATAATGAAAGTGACATCCCGGTGAATTATTCAACAGTTCTGCCGCTTCATTTGGTGCCTATATCGGTGGCAAAGATGGCGGCGAAATAAATGATGATAGACAAGGATATTGTTTTTTTTTTTGTTTAAGAGATGTTTTTACGTATTTCAGTTTAAGGGCTTCGTAGTCATTTTAAACTTGTTTTATAGGCCAAGATCGTTATAGCAAAATTATCATGACATGGCCTTTTAACAAAAATTGTAGTACTTAGAATAGAATAGAATCAAATAACTATTTATTTGCACATAATGCAGGTATTTACAATAAGGTGATATTAAAACACTAATAAGGTATCCTTGTACATTCTATTACATGGGACTCATAACATAAATAGTGAAAAGTGGGTGTTAAATTCTACAGTGGCATTTAGTACCGTAATGTGCACTTCTGCCTACCCCTTCGGGGCTAAAAGGCGTGATGTTATGTGTAAATTCTACTATTTTGGCATGCAAACATTGATTAAGCATAATTAAAAATAAATACACATTATTCATTTACTTACCTGCTCCATTGAAAAGAGTGACAGCGTCACAAAAATCGCCAACGTAATCATTGTGAAGTCTGAAACAAAATTAAATAATTGAAATTATTTTTTAACTCATAATAAACCATTTCTAGGGTATGAACTATAACTGTATAATGTAGTTTGAGATTTGTCCCGTTCATCATCTATTTATCACCATCACAATCATTCAGAAAAGTTCTTTGGCCAAACAACATAATTTTAAGTGTGGGAGAGCCATGCTTCGCCACGAATGGGCCGGCTCGACCGGCATGATACCACGGCCTCACAGAAAACAGACGTGAAGCAACGCTTGCGTTGTGTTTCGTCGCGTGAGTGAGGTTACCGAAGGCCCAGCTACCCTCCCCACTTCCCCAATCTCCCCAATCCCCAAATCCCCAAATCCCCCACAATCCACAAACTCCTAATCCCCATAATGCCGGTAACGCACTTGTATTGTTTCTGGTGTTCTAAGTGTCCATGGCCGACGCCGATTGCTTACCATCAGGTGATCCGTCTGCTCGTTTACTGGCTTATGCCATAAAAAAACCACAGGCTTCCAAATGACTTCCAGATCAACTGGTTGGAGACATTGTCTACTACAAAATGCTCGAATTCTGTAATAATACATCAGTCACCTGGAGAAAAACATCAGCGCCTAAGCGGCAGTCGCTCTAACAGCTATCGACCAAGACTTACATACATAAATAAGTAAATAAGCCGTCTTCCTTAGGCCTGAACCCTTAATCTTCGCGTTGTCAGCCTTAACCTGTTCATGTACATTGTACGAACTCGTAAACTGAGCTCGTAAACTTTGGCACTCGTAAAAAAAGATGTTAAAATCTGACAAGATACAAGCGAGAGCCCCGTTGACTCATTTCTGTTGGGAGGGCAGTGTTTTATTTATTTGGAACAGTTTGTTAAAGATTTCTGGTATTGATGTCGAAGATGTAAATGCATGTTAAACACTTCAAGTATTGTAAATATCCGTGGTGTGAACTGTGTGTTTATGGATGTTGTCTTGTATCCCTTGTAGGGGCCATTTCACAATATTGTTTTATGGATTACCGATTTTGAAAGGTCTAGTGTGCTTATTAAGTTTGTTAGTTGGTTTTTATTTCACATTGGGTCGGATTTATTTAAGATATGATTTCAGTCTCTGGAGATAGCAAAAAGGTTATCCCCCCTGATGCCGATACGGAGCCGCGAAGGACTTAACAGGTTACCGGGGCTCCGGCTCGAAGAGCAGGAGTAGACACGGGGTGGTGTTAAGAGGCGAGAAAAGACATTCCATGATTTTCACCCCTTAAAAATAGAGCATGGTAGAAACGTTACCGCGTTTAGTCCTTTGATTGGTTGGTTTATTGGAGCAAGCCAATCAGAGCGTCTAACGCGGCAATGTTTCGATTTTTTTTATGAGATAAGCCGGTAAACTGGCAGACGGCTCACATGTAAGGTAAGCAATCGGCGTCGCCTATGAACACCCGAAACACCAGAGGCGTTACAAGTGCGTTTCTGGTCTTTTGGGAGTTTGAGGATTGTGGGGGATTCGGGGATTGAGGAAACTGGGGAAGGGGGTAATTGGGCCTCCAGTAACCTCACTCACACGACGAAACACAACGCAAGCGTTGTTTCACGTCTGTTTTCTGTGAAGCCGTGGTATCACTCCGGTCGAGCCGGCCCATTCGTGCCGAAGCATGGCTCTCCCACACTTATTATCGACATCGTTCAACGTAAAACAAAATCGTATTAAACTGTCTGGTGATGACAGGCAAAAGTTCATTCTGAGGTGAAAGAGAATTCGCCACATTTTCCTGTACGCCATTTTCGTGTCTACTTAACTTTGTTTTCAATTCATCCCAAGTAAATTTTATACACAATTTACCCCAGTTAGCAAAGTACGCCTCTGTTATGATTACCCAGGGTGGCTTGCTAATTACTCCTTTGATGACATATGTATATGTGACACGTGTATTTTGTCCGTCTGTTCGTGCTAATGTGATGGAACCCGTTTTAATGTGGCTCTTTATTCGAAGTCTGTTAAAATGTTTATTTAAGGAGTACGTATCTTGGAATTTTGTGATGTTTATTATGGCTATGTTCTGTTTTATCTTTGTTATGTAATTATGTCTTTCATTTGCCTGTTTTGTTTTAAGCAGGCTGTTATTTTGAATACCGTACTTGATATCTATGACTATATTTTTTATTAGGTACGATAAGAATTAATTGTTATTTCGAAATATTATTTGTAAAATACATACAGACTTAATAAGATCGTCAATCTAAAAACTCAGTCAGTCCCATTTCTGTATTAAAATTTGTTATTTAACGTAATTTTAACTAGCTTTGACTTTACGTAGAGAAATTTTGGTTCAACGACAACAATATGCATAAACAAACAAGCCCAGCAAACCACAACTCTTATCCCAGCCTAACACTAAAACAACAAGTTTCTAGAAATTTCTACCTCTATATTATCGGACACCATAATTAAACCACAGATAAATAAACACAGGAATGTCCTGATACCGATTCAAATCAGCGAAATGCAATTCCGTATCAAGTAACGTATTCTGGGTCATTTCTTAAACGAGTTTGTATATCAACAAGGCTGTATCTAGCGATTCCTGTGCCGACCGTTAGAAAGATCCGGTTCTGACGATGTAGGCCAGTCCTTGTCTATGCCATTGTACAGATAATATAGATATACAGCTTGTTTTCGATAACGTTTATGGTAATAAGGATTTTCTTGGGAATAAATCCTTGTTTCTGAGACAGATTGTTTGATAGGAATATTTTGTGTTATGTTATTTTATCTGTGGCACTTAATGTTTAATGCTGACAGCTGTTTCAGAACATTGAGAAATTAGATTAATATTTTGTTTGATAGCAAATTAAAATGGTAGAGCAGTGTAAGCGATTACAAAGTTTACAGTTAATTAATAAATAAACATTTTTAACATGAATCGTAAAAGCTTAATCGACACTTATGTAAGTAATTATAAACAAAGTGACCACCATTTTATGAGTGCTTTTTAAAGTTTTTAGTAGCGTGGACGTATTAATACTAATGTTAAACCATTTTATTGTGGCAATTAAAATATTTTCATTTTAAACATCGAATTAGAGTAGAGTTGACTTCGTTTTATTTTTGTAACATGGTTATTTAGTATTCTCTTTTCTGCGGTAATTGAAAGAACTGATTTTTAATAATTGGTTTTTTATAAATAACTGATTAAACTCTCTTTACTATTTTATTCTATTGTTGCTTAATGAAAACTTTTTGATGATTATTTTGATTCAGGCCTGAGATTTTTGCAAGGTCGACTACAGCCAAGCGATATTCGTATGGAGATTTTATCTCCATCAAGCTGATTATTAACTTTTGTCACCGTGAAAGAAAACTATCATATTGTGGCTTGTGGCTATTAATGCAAGTCTGGTGTGAATCAAGATAATCCTGCTTTTGTCCTAGGTCCTCGTGTTTGAGAACGAACTATAAGTGAGAAGAAGAATGGCGTGGTATATCTATATTACAATTGATTATTTACCGAGCCCAGATTTATTTATATTGCCGATTATTATAATACCTTTATGAATTGAGTTCTTCTGTAGCAGGGCTGATGTTAATGTCCTAAAATTAAATATTTAATGCGTGGGTCATAAACCACATCACAACTCGATGCATACCTACACGATAACATCATAAAGTTTTCTGCCACCACAAATCCAGTTTGTAAACACCAATAAATAAATAAAACCTCTCTCCTTTTTGGAGTAAAAGCCAAATAAAACTCCCCTGTCCCTTGCTAATTTCCAAAACTAATTGCCGGGTCGTTGACAGTCTTATGATATTTTTTTAACCGTAATGACGCAAGCAAGCAGTTGCAGGCCAATTAACGGTGCCCTCTAATTATAAGCGGCCATTTTGAAAATACCTTTTCCCTGTATCTAAATAAATTGGCGCGCAATTTCAAATTAAGAATACAGAGAATTTAGATTTGTTTTTAATTTGTTTCGTTTTGCACGAATTATTCTGCCTATTGGTTGAATCACGTCGAATTATTAATTAATTTTATGCCACAACTGATAATTTTGTTATGTGAGAATACTGTCGGCATGAAATGTATTTAATTTTGCTTTTAATGAAGCTTTTAAGGGTTTTGTTACGCGAAATTGTTTTAATTTAACAAGCAGCTTTGATTAAATAAAACGTACGTTGTAAAATGTTATGATGTTTACGTTTTATTTTTATGTTTTATGAGAATAACTTCGCGAAGGTATTTTTGGCATAGTGATTCTGATTTCGTACATAGAGTTACTGTTAATGTACGAATTACACTTAAATTAAATTCGTGTCTACATTTAGGAGTTTGTTATTAATTATACCACGTTTGGTTTTAAAATAATTTAGCTACATAGTAACATCGTGCCCTGACCTGTAGGTATATGTATTACGTGTAGGTAGTTATATTATGTTCTATTAATATTTCACGGTCGGAAAATTAAGATAGGTCAGGATGATCAAAAAGCAAAGGATTATACGAAAATTATAATTTAGTTACATATTTACTTAAAAATATGTAACTAAATTATAATTTTCGTACTCAATTATTTCTTTTTGATGAGTCTGGAATTGTGCCCGGTATATGGCAATAGGCTCACTCCCTATTACACAGGACTCATAACATAAATAGTGAAAAGTGGGTGTTACATTGTACAATGGCATAATGTACACCCCTTCCTACCCCTTTGGGAAAAATTATATTATGTAGTAGATTGAAACAGAGTGATGGCAAATTGTGTTTCTTTAGGAGACAGAAGAGAATTAAAGAGAAGAATATCACTTTTTAAAAGGCCCGGCAACGCATCTATGACTCTTCTGTTGTTACGAGTGTCGATGGACGGCGCTGATCGCTTACCACCAGGTGATCCGGTCTGCTCGTTTGACACGTATTTCATAAAAAAAGACAGGGAGCAAATAAGCATATAGATCACTTGATTGTGATATAAGAAGAAAGGAGAACAATTATTATGGCACAACGTTGTCT